GGTCTCGAACCTACGGGCTCAGGCAATCCACTCACCTCAGCCTCCCAAAGCGCTGGGATTACAGGCTGAGCCACCGAGCCCGGCTTCCTACATCTCTTTAACTCTTCTCCTCACATGAGCTCCCAGACTCTTCCTCATCCTATGCATTCAAGTCACCCCCTTCCTTCTTAGTGGTCCCACTTACCTCATCTTGACCCTCCCTCATCACCCCAAATTGCACTTGCTGCCTCTGCTCCCAGCTCACCTCCAGCATACAGGCAGAGGACCAGGATCCCCAGTAGCTTCCAGTTGAGCATCATGGCTGACCACTGGCCCCCAAAGCCAGGGTGCACTGAGTCTGAGTACCTGGAAACCCCAAGAGGCTTTATAGGGGAGGAGGGAGAGGAGGAGGCCAATTTCTGGGGAGGGGCTGGCCCAGCAACACAGGAATACCATCAGAACCTAACTGGTCAAACCCGTTTGGAAGTTCATAGCAAATGTGTAATCTCTGACTGTGGCGTCCTTCATTTTAATCCCCCAGCCCAGTACCTAGCAGCCCGGCTCTATCTGTGACCCTGAGTCACCCCACCCTTGTTTTCATGCCCGATCCATCCACATCCTGCAGCAGTCAAGACCCACCTGACATCTCCATAAGCACAGGGACGTCCACCTTTCATCCCTCACAGCTATTGGAAGCCAAAGAATGGGAGCAAACTGCGTGGGGAAGCCCCATAATTACAGGGACAGGGAGGCAGGATGCCCAGGCTGGGGGGGGGGGGGGGGGGGAGTGTCTTTCAAACCTGGGATGCAGCTGGGACAGTGTCAGCCAGTACCCCAGCCTCCACCCACCTCCACAGAAGCTCCCAGTTTATTTCCCTGGCACTTCCCCTCCCCCTAGGGCCCAGGCCTGCAGCTGTCTAGTCTGTCCTCCTTCAGGCATGTAGGGGCCTTCCGAGCAGTCACATCCAAGGAATTCCATCCTGGAGCCACCCAGGGTGACTGCAGAAGAGGAAGGAGCTATGAGGATATCCTGGTTCCCTCTCCCCATTCAGAGCTGGTTGCATCAGTACCAGCCCAGAGGCGCAGGAAGAAGCTGCCTTGCCTCTTCCTTCTCCATCAGGAGTCCTCCTCTGCCCCTCTGGCATCTCCCTGGGTTCCTAGCTCCAACTGCCTACCTTCTCCCTCCCCTCTTCCTTTACACCTCAGCCCTCTTGTCTGAGTTTCCCAGAGATCTCCCTGGAAGGTTTTCTTCAAGGACATCTCTGCCTGAGGTCTGCAAGTCTCTCAGAAATAATGTGTCCAAAATAGAACTTGATCCCTCCCCAGGTTGTTCCCTGCCTGGACTGCTCCCCAGCTGTAAAAGACACTACTGTCCCATCTCCCACCGCATCCACCTGCAAACCCCCTTCACACCCCATCCAAACTAAGCTCACCATCCCTCCCAAGTCACCATCTCTCCCCTAGCCTCCCCCTTACCCTAATTGGTTTCCCTGCTCAAATCCCTCCCCCACACCCAAAACCTGGCTTCCACAACCTTCAAAGGATCTCTTAAAAATACACATCAAATTATGTTGCTTCTTCTCGGTATAAAAAGTACTCCAAGGGTTTTCTTTTTTTTTTTTTTTTGAGTT